GTTGCATAGGCTGGTGTGCTTCTTCCATGTGGGCTTTGTTGCTTCTGAGCTTGATGGCCGCTTGATTACCTTCAAGCCTTTAAGACCCCAGACGCTAGAAATAGTAGATAATTCCATGGGAAAAGTACCTTTAAAGCAGCTCAGGTACCAAACTAACCAGCTGATTTGAGTGATCTGGTCTCGTAATAGTCTCTAGTAGTAAGATGTCTGGGCCCTTTTACGAGAAAAGCAAGCTCTCTACTTTCCTCATTAGTTTGTTAGGGTGAGGTTTACAAACTACAACACGGTGAATCCTAATGTTGCTATTAAGTCAAATTAGAAAAAACAGAATCAAAATATGTTAACACTTTTAAATGTCAAATATGTTCTTAAACACATTCATATTTTTATTTCTCTGATACAGTTTTTAACTGCATTTCAGAAACATGTGTTTGAGGTAGATACTCATTACAATCCTAAAATGTGTACTATTAGGAAGCAAAAGTAAAGTGGCTGGTGATTAGTGACAGAAATTCCAGAGCACTCATTTTTTAAAGCTTTAGCATTTAAATGTTTTGTTTTCTGACATAGGCTGTTTCAAAAGAGCAATGTACCATGGCTGTGAGATTCTTAAGTGTGTGGTAGACATGCTTTCTAAAAATTAAAAAAATGAAGAGATCATTAAAAAAAATAGACCAGGCTGTCTGGTCTGACGGAGACTGGTGGAATCCCGACACTCTGGCCCTTAGCGACTCCACTCCTGGAACTGTGCTCAGTCCTCTGACTCAGGTTTCTGTCAGACAACCTATAGGCTTGGAGGGGACGAACAACATCCAAGAGGGATGCACTCCTTAAAACATGCGACTGTACAAAATCAAAAGGACAGCATTTGCTTATGGATACAAACTTGAAAGCGGGAAGGGACAGAAAAGAAGGATGCTTGATAATGGAAAAAAATATTTTTTTTTTTGCTGCAAAAGGATGCTTTATTGTTTCCATTTGGTCACCAGCTTGGGGGAAGGCCTCCTGGGTGGTGCCACTGAGGCGTTCTGGCAGGTTCAGGCAGGGGCGCTAAGGCTGGCAGGAGGAGGCAGAGGGCCCCTCACAGGTGGCTCGATGCCGCAGTTCCTCGTCGGGTTTGAGGGTGAGCCTCTCGAAGAGATATTCGCCCAGCCCGGCCTGGGGGCTGGCCAACCTACGGAGGTGGGTCAGGTGGTCTCCCATCATCTTGAGTTTCACCTCCTCGAAGTGGTTCTCCAGCAAGTCACGGAGATGGGGGTCAGTGTGAGTGGACCCCACGCATGCAGGTCCAGAAGGGCCTGGTTGAGGGTCTTCTCCAAGGCCAGCGCAGCTTCCATGGCATCCAGATTCTACCCGACTCCTCTTGCAACGGTTTCTGTACATCCTGGAAGAGGGTGCGGCGGCAGCTACGCTGGTTTTGAAGCTTCAAAAGACGCTCAGCCCCCTGGTGCTTCTCCTTCGCCAGCTTGCGGAAGAAGTTGCCCTTGCCCTCCAAGGCCACATCGTGGTCGAAAAAAGCCCAGAGGCTCGGCGGAAGCAGGTTTACCTTATGGTGGACGCCTGCCTCAGCTGCAGAATCATTCTGATGATTCTAAGACCTCATGACTGGTCAGTTTGGAAGTCACCACACACAAAATAAAATTGTTAACTGGTCCCAGTAAGAGGGGATGGCCAAGAAGATGGTCCTGAAGGTTACCCCAGGAAAGGACACTAGAGAGTGGTCGAAGGTTGGAGGCAGGGAGTCCCCGGATCGGATCTGTTCCGTTCAAACACTGTTGAAGCAAGACACAGATCCATGGGACCACAGGGCGAGCTTCTGTAAAGTTTTAAATCAGTAAAAAGTTGGAAAAAATGAAGAGCTCATGTCTCATCCGTGATTTCCTGTAGGACAGTTACCATGTAGCTTTCATGAGTGGGGAAACGTTTACCTGTGTTTCTAAGTTTTCTTGACAAAGAGTCCCACAAAACTGAAAATGCTTTAAATTCAGACAAGGTGGGGAAGCCCTCCACAGGGAGTCATGTGTCCACACACACCAGGCATCGCCTGCAGAAGGAAAGCTCCATCAATACAGTGACTTTGTGCCTTCTGTGGCTTCTCATGGGTCAGCAAACACCAGTGGAATCCTAACGGATGTAGCTCTGGTGGGCCCGCCTTTAGCCAGAAAGGAGTCACGTGACAATAGAGGATTTGTACAGCTCAGAAGCCATCTGAATACAGAGACGGTGGCACTGTGAATGCATTTAGTGACTCTGGAAGTGCCTCCAGTGTCCAGTTACGTTTTATTTTATGTTCCACAAAGCTCAGGATCAACTTTGATGCACGATTATACAGGAGGGCTGAAAACAGTGCCTGCTTCA